AAAAATTTATTGCTAGTAATAATAGTTTTACAAAGTATTTCTGGCATTAAAACATATTTTTACACTTTCATAGCGTTTTCACCCCAGTTTGGAGGTTAACTATTTACCCATATCTGGGAACTTAACAGGTGCTACCACCCTGGGTCAGGACCTTTTTTATCGTCTTACCCAGAATGATGATGTAGTTTATCCTCATACCCAGGACACTGTAAATATATATATATATATATATATATAATGTTGCCGACGTCTGCTCAGACATATCTTGTATTTGTTCAGCACCCTCAGATCTCACCTGTGATTTATACTGCAATTAATGAGAGAGAGAGAGAGAGAGAGAGGGGGGGAGAGAGAGAAAGAGAGAGCGTTACATAACTTGATGACTTTTGATTCGCGCTAGCACAAATATCGACGGATCCCAAAGAGTTCCGTCTACCCAATTTCATTTGCAAGCCTTGGGTCAACCCGTGGTATGGTTTTCAGGAACTTTCCAGAAGTGCTACAAGCCTCCTCTAGAACGATAGTCTCAAATCGATATATATATATATATATATATATATATATATATATATATATATAGGCCTGTATCACAGCTCATCAGTGCGACGAGACAACCGAATGCTTCAAGACGAGACGAAAAATATAATGCTAATCGAAATATGACGCTACCTGAATTTTACCAAAAACAAAATAATTTCCATGCCTGATGATGACTGGACGTACAGGTCGAAAATACTTGCGTATTTAAGGAAACCTAATACATTTAGAAAAAAAACACATATCATAACATTCATCGAGTGTTGGTAGGTTAATAGATGTTTACAATTTAGTTTGCGAAGGGATATCGCCATTTTATATCATTAACTTTACTAATTTACTTTTTGTATGAATAATTCATTGTAATATAAATTGAACTGCACCATATTATATATATATATATATATATATATATATATATATATATATATATATATATATATATATATATCAGACAAACCTTGTCAGTTCTCTTTAATCTGATAGCACATATCATCAGTAATGCTTTCTAGCCGTTTGTTCATTAGCAGTTACGGCTCATTCAACATCATAACACCTCCCCACGATTACCTAGCCTATATGGATCGGGATTCGTCAGCTACAACTTTCCTTATTTTGTATCACACAATCAAACTTGCTTGGATTAATTTTGTGGCCTAAATATATATATATATATATATATATATATATATATATATATATATATATATATATATATATATACATACAATAGGAAGTTTAAATTCCTATTGTATGTAATTTATATGCTCTGTTATAATAAATACATTGAGCTCTCTTTGTGAATCAGTTTTCATATTTTATATTAATAGAATTCACTTGGATTATATACCAACGGGTTATTACCTATATACAAGGTGACCAAAAAAACGGCAAGTTTTGAAGTGCGTATTGCCAGACATGAGCAAGTAGCAACACTGCGAGACAGTGACCTTGAGCAAGTAAACATTTCTCCATTTTAGTAACCATGGATCAATGGAACGGACAACAGCGTGCGTTAGCCATAAAAATGTTTTTATAAAAACGGTGAGAGTTTGAGAGCTGCACAGAGGGAGTTCCGACGTTTTTACAACTTAGGACGTCATGGTGCTATTCCATCAAAACACGCGATAAAATGTTGGATTAATAACTTTGAAGAGACTGGATCTGCCAGAGAATTCAAGATGAAATTCACAGTATCCCAGCTGAGATGTTGCAACAGTCAATGAGGAATCTCAACAGCAGATTTCAAGAATGCATTCGTACAGAAGGACGTCATCTACAGGACGTAATTTTTAAAAAACGAAAATTCCATCATTGTTTCTTAAATGGCATGGTTTTAATTACTATGAATAAAATATTTTTCTTCCATCACTCTTGGTTTTATTGGATTGTTAAAAAGTTCCCGTTTTTTTGGGTCACCCTGTATATATATATACATATATATATATATTGGGGGGGGTCACCCTGTTTATATATATATATATATTGGGGGTCACCCTGTTTATATATATATATATATATGTTAGAAGTCACCCTATTTATATATATATATATATTTTTTTTTGTGGGGTCACCCTGTTTATATATATATATATATATATATATATATATATATATATATATATATAGTCACCCAGTTTATATATATATATATATATATATATATATATATATATATTAAGTCACCCTGTTTATATATATATATATATATATATATATATATATATATATATATATATATATATATATATATATAGTGCCAATTTAAGATTCAGTTTTAAATAAAATTGCTGGTTTTTCAGTGGTTTTTGCTGATGGGGCATTTACTGAAAGCAAGCTTTGTGCTAAGAGTGCTCAATATCGAAGATAGAGATAGAACGTTAATAGAATTAATTAGAAAAATTTTATTTAACTTAACTCATGTTTACTTCGTGGATATCGATATAATGGTTCATCGGAACAAAGTTAAACTGCAGCTATTTTCTGTAAGGATGAATGGTATGCCAATGTCAGCAGTTTAACTCTGTTCGAACAGGGGCTTATATCTATATGCCCACGAAACTCCGAAGTAAACATGCGTTTTCATGATATATATATATATATATATATATATATATATGCAAAAATATATTGTTAAATATAACAGACAACGAATGTTTATTATGTTTGATCATGAGCCGTTGTAGGCTTCTTAGGCTTTAGTTTCGGGAAAATAAAGACAAAACTGTCCAACATTTAGATATTTTTTATTTATCTAAGCTTTCGGCTCACGTAAGCCATCATCGGAGTGGTTATATAGACATATTATAATCTCCTTAATGTTCATTATGGAAGACATCGTAGTTTTTTCATTTTTTCTTTTTTTCCAAGTCCTTTCAGTTTCATCCAAGATCATCTTCAGGAATGAATTGCTAAGACAAAAATAAATTAATGCAATTGATACTTGTGATTTTTTTGTAAATGCGCATGAAACGCGTTCTGTTATAATTATGAATACGTATGAACGCTCTCCGTTATAGAGAATTTATCTCGAGTAAAAAGACATCCTTTAGGCTTGTCTTCGAAGAATCAAGGAACAGCCTCTAACTTTAACTTAATCCACTCCTAAAGATGATCTTCGATGAGATTGAAAGTACTTGGGTAAATAAAAGTAATGGAGAAAAAAACTACGACACCATCCTCAATGAATTTAATGTCAATATTAAGAAGTTGGTCCGAGAATTCGAGAGGATTAAAATAAAAGTAAATAGGCATAATACATCCAGATTATTCAACCAAACATGCTTGAATGAAGATATGCTGCCTAAATATACATCCATATATATATATATATATATGTGTGTGTGTGTGTGTGTGTGTGTGTGTGTGTGTGTGTGTGTGTGTGTGTGTGTGTGTGCAGGCGCGCGAACCCTCCTGCGCCTGGACGAAGCCAAAGAATTCAGCGGGCAAAATGTTATTTATATGAAAACCGTAATGATAAGGTCAACAGTTTGAAGCAATTCGCGTATCAGCAGAAGAATTTCATTTATTTTCTTATTACAGGATAATGATCTATTCTTTAATATAAAACATAGTTTATTCATTTATCGGTCACGCAGTCTGATTTCCCCATCTGAATAATGATATATTCTGTTGTTACTGTAACGGGACGCCTTAGTCAACGCCGATGACCAAAGATACCGTATCACACCATAACAACGAAATATCTCATTAGTAAGTAGGCAAGAACAAGCTTCTTATATATAGCTTCTTTTCTTTTCTCTTTTTCATATTCATTCATTGTAAGTTTATTCCTAAATATGCTCAATTCAGATAAGAGCACCCGTCAGTTAGATACCCACACATTTCTTTAAAGCGGATTTCAGGGTCAATTTTTGAGATGCCCGAAATAGGATGTGCCAAGAGAGACTGAGCAATTGTTCTTACAAATCAGCGTACATTTGGTATTCCCACTTTAAACATGGCCTTGTGTCATATTTCGTTCGTATGAGTAGATATTTTTATTTTTAATGATTTAAAAAGTGGAATTCTGTCCTACATACGACTACAGAATTAATTATATAAATAAATAAAAAAAGATACTAGATTACTAATGTGGAAAATTTAACCAACGCAAGTGAAAAATTACTTAAATTCCGCCGTCATATTCTATTCTGCGAGAGACAGGTATCATTATTTCACAGTGTAAATTGATAGATGTAACAGTAAATTCTATGCTAACAGATATAATATAATAAGTTCGATGCTAACAGTTTCTTCTATGGCATTTCTCGCTTGTGGAACTCTCTTTCGGATTCTTGCTACTGATTTGAATGGTATCAATGCTATTTTTCCCCTTTCCACGTATTACCCAAAATTTTAATTCCAAAATATGTTTACTAATCTGAAGACCAACAAAGATGGCTTCCTTTATCTTTGCTCCACTTATTCTGGAAAATTAATTCTTATCTCACGTACCTGAGTGTCGCTTTTGTTCTCATTACAGCCTTCCTAAAATTGTTCGTAAGACCAATCTTGATGTGAAGAGACGGCAACAAAGTTTTCTTTGACTCAACTGGTGGTGATTGCTAAACATTTTTCCTCTCAAGTTCCACTGATTGACGTAATGGACAATTTCTCTTGATGTAATGAGAACTTGTCTCGGTTTTTCCATTCACAAAAGAAAACATAAAAGTACTTGGTATATCCACCTTGTAGTCCTAGCAAGAAGTTCTTTTGATCAAAATTGATACGTCTCAGTGGTTGTTTCATATTGTCATAAGTTTCTTTCATGCTGTCTGCTTGAGCAACTGAGATTGAAGATAAAATATCACCATTTTGTAACAAGACAGCTTTGAGACTTGTCCTCGAGGAAGCAATGAACGGCCTCCATTCCTCTGGGTTGTAACTGATGTTAAGTGATTGCATAAGATCAATGATATCATTGCAGTACACCAAATCTATTTCCATAGGGAAAAATAAAAATGGGATTAGATCCTTGTGATGATCACCGAAATGGGAAACCCGTAGATCACCAGCTTATAGATTCCCCTGCTGTAACCTGGAACCTAACATTTCTATTTTAGAAGTTCCAAATCTCTTACTAAGTCACTCTGATTTATGAGGTGTTGTTCAGAGACGGATGTGGGACAATAATCTTGGTCATATGAAGTTGATTTTTCAAGGTCTGAGGTTTCATCATCTGACTCAATTTCATAGGATTCTCTCTCTCTCTCTCTCTCTCTCTCTCTCTCTCTCTCTCTCTCAAATATGAGCACTGCAAAAGGCATAGATTTTTTTCTTCCTGGTTAGCCATTGACTGAGATTTATTGCACATGTATTATGGCATATGTGTGGTGTCCACTTCTTGTCTTGCTCTCCAATTTTGCACCTAAAATATACTAGATAATTATTTCTCGCAACAGGTATTATACTTCGCTTCCTGACACTCATAGGAGAAGTTATCGATCGTGTTCAGACATTCATGGGACATTTTTTTACAGGTCAGTTAAATGTGTGAAAATACGAGTAATAATAATTATTTTATTAGGAGAATAATTATATATAATAAGGTTATTAGGGAAATAATAATTAATCTGGCAAGGAGAACATTTTTGATGAAATATTCATATAACACTAGGATTGTATCTTGAAATCTTGAACCAATCGACAATTTTGGATATCATTCTTATTTTCAGTGCCCCAAAATTAGCTAAGACTGGCTATTTTCGATTGTGAAGTTTTCATGTAAATCAGTGTTTAATTTTGAACTTTTCATCCTTTAAATCATTTTCCATTCCCGCTTTTATTACCAGCCGTTTATCAAATATTGAGGACAATTCCGATTTCCAGTTATTATGACCCACTCCCCTTTATTAAGGAACCTAAGAATAAATATGTATATTGTTAATCTTTTTCTTTTTATTCTTCTACGTAATTCCTTCTTTCTTTCCTTCTTTCTTTTTCTTTCTTTTCATTCTTCTACCTAATTCTTTATTTCCTTCTTCATTCCATCTTTCATTTTCTTTCTTTCTTTCCTTCTTTCTTTTTCCTTTCTTTCCTTCTTTCTTTTTCCTTTCTTTCCTTCTTTCTTTTTCCTTCTTTCTTTTTATTCTTCTACTTAATTCTTTCCTTCTTTCTTTTCTTTCTTTCCTTCTTTCTTCCTTCTTTCTTTCCATTCTTTCTTTCCTTTTTTTTCTTCTTTCTTTTTCTTCTTTTACTTAATCCTTTCTTTCTTTTTTCTTTCTTTCATTCTTTCTTTTTTCTTCTTTCTTTTTCTTCTTTTAGTTAATCCTTTCTTTCCTTCTTTCTTTTTTCTTTCTTTCTTTTTTCTTCTTTCTTTTTCTTCTTTTACTTAATTCTTTCTTTTCTTCTTTCTTTTTTCTTTCTTTCCTTCTTTCTTTTCTTTTCTGTCTTTTTATTCATCTACTTAATTCCTTCCTTCTTTCTTTTTCTTTCTTTTTCCCTTCTTTCATTTTATTCTTCTAGTTAATTGTTTTTTCTTTTTTCTTTTGTTCCTTCTTTGTCTTTCTTTTTTCCTTCTTTTTCTTTCTTTCCTTCTTTCTTTCCTTCTTTCTTTTTCCTTCTTTCTTTTTATTCTTCTACTTAATTCTTTCTTTCTTTCCTTCTTTTATCTTTCTTTTCTTCGTCCTTTTTCTTTCTTTTCTTTCTTTCTTTCTTTCTTTTTCTTTCTTTCTTTTTATTCTTCTTCTTAATTCCTTACTTCTTTCTTTTTTTTTTTTTTTTTTCCCTGCTTTCATTTTATTCTTCTACGTAATTCTTTCTTTCTTTTCTTCTTTCTTTTTTCTTTTTTACCGCGCTTTCTTCAATAGTATGTATGTGAGTGTTCAGGTAGTTGTCTCACACTCTCTCTCTCTCTCTCTCTCTCTCTCTCTCTCTCTCTCTCTCTCACACACACACACACACACACGCACACACACGACAACTGTTGTTTAGATTTTCTCTTTCTTCTTTTTGCTGATTGCTTTCGCCCAACCTGTTTCACTATTTGTACTTCTTTCCTTGCTTCCCTCCTTCCACAACATACCACATCTCTCTCACCCCCTGCCCTCGCTCTCTCGCTCTTTTCCCTCTCTTCCGTCCTCCCCGCCGTCTGTACACTCCACCGTAATTCTTCAACTTACATTAAGTGTACCTTTGAACTTAAACGCTCGGTAATGCTTTAATTTTTCAATTAATTTTCGCTAATTTAAATGTTCAGACAAATTCAGACAATTATCGACATGAAGATGACTGGAAGCTGTCATTAGGAGATGATAATAACAATAATAATAATATTAATAATAATAATAATAATAATCCGTCTTTGCAAGCTTGGAAATGTTTGCAAAAACTGAAGACGTGACAAAATGGCTGCGATTTTACATTGAAAACTGTCAAAATTTTGGATTTGAGCGTGCAGGCAAACATTGGTGGACTGGGTCGAAAATCTCTACCGGGAAAACTTGTAAAAGGGCCCAATCAAAAGGACCCACTTAATCCCAAAACGTAGTCAAAGGAACAAAGGAATCAAATAAGAAATTATATCATCAAAGGAGCCTTATTTAAATTTTCCCAGCATCTAGCAATAGATGCATCTTTTTTTTTCTTTTTTTCTTTTTTTAGCTTTTATTTTTCTCGTTTAATTCTAAAGTGATGGACTGTTATATTCCGTGCTAATAGAAATATATACTTGAAAAACACGGTGGATAAAATAAGTAAAGGTTTATTGTAAAAAAAAACAGTACAATAAGAATAAAGGTAACAATTATGCACAAGGTTGTTGCAAGTCAATCCAGTAGTGAGTGTTACTATTGGAAGGTCGGTAGTCCTCGCGTAAGTTTGAATCGTACTCAACCGATCCCAACTAGGCAATATTTACTAGCCCCCACCCCACCACCACGAGGGTAGATGTGGCACAAAGCCGGGTTTAACGTGGGTCATCCGAGCCCATAGGCTCGGCCAAAATTTCCCCGTAGAACCCGCTTAAACGGGTTCAGGTCTGTCTATCTACCTGGACAAGACTCTGCCCTTCGTCATAGCCTCGTCCGGGTTCCTCCCTGCTCGAAGGCAGAGAGTTCGACTGCACAGCTGGAACAGATCCCAGCTAGTAATATTTACCAACCTACCCACAGGGAAGGATGTGGCACAAGGCCGAATTTGATGTGGGGTAATCCGAGCCCATAGTCTCGGCCAAAAATTCCCCGTAACCCCACATAAACGAGTTCGGGTCTGTCTACCTCCCCGGGTGAGACTCTGCCGTTCAGCATAGCCTCGTCCGGGTTCCTCTCTGCCTTCGGGCAGTGAGTTCGACAACAGCTAAGAGCTGAGTAACAGATCCCAGCTAGTCTCCGTAGTCCGTTGTCTTATAGTTACATATAGGTAGTTACTACTTATAGTGTAGTCACTCATAGGGATGACATTACATCATGGACCATTACTTTGGAGCCCCCCACCCCACCAGGAAATTTCCCGGTATCCCGGTGGATCAGTCCGCCATTGTAGAAAAAAATGATATATTCATAAACTGGACAGAGTCACCGATAATTTTTTTTTTATGGGACATGAAGATTCATTGAACATTCACCGTATAATTGTTCTCAGCAACGGAATGTCAGTTTATTATCTTCTTCATGTTGCTTGTCTGTTCATTACAGAACATTCGAGAAAGAAGGACAAACAATTGAGAATTACACTGAATTTTTTTAGGGGGGGGGTGAATTTTTTTAGCTATTGTCGAAAATTTCTTCGACTCAAGGGTAGTCAAAGTCGGTTTGGCAGTAAGTGTTGCGAAACACGCCTAGTCCCGCGACCCAAATTTAAACGGATCAAATAATAAAGAAAAGAGCGCGCAAAATGATTCTGTTCGCGTAATGTCCTTCTCAAAAAATAAAAGATAGAGAAAAGGAAGCGAAGGCAGACCTTAAATAACAAATAGCAGACCTGCGCATCCACCCTTTCTAGTAAGAAAACAAATCAAGCAGCCTCGATTTGATAAAACAGAATCCGTCAACCACTCAGTTTCCACGTCCGACAGCCGCTCCATAAGCGCAGGTAATTTCTCTTATTTTTCCACACTATTGGATTATTAGTAAATTGCATTCTTTATTATTTATCTTTCAAATATTTTAGCAACAATAATAATAAAAAATGTTATCATTTATTTAATGATAATTTGATCGGAAATATTAATATGATTGTAAATAAAGTGGGGGATCAATTTTCTATTGTTTTCGACTATTAAACTGATCACCCATTAATTACTACATAGTAATGAAATATAATTCATTTTTGACATCATGAGTAAACTAATATTAATATGATTGTAAATAAAGTGGGGGATCAATTTTCTATTGTTTTCTAGTATTAAACTGATCCCCCATTAATTACTACATAGTAAGGAAATATAATTCATTTTTGACAGCGTGGGTAAACTAATATTAATATGATTCTAAATAAAGTGGGGGATCAATTTTCTATTGCTTCTAAGTATTAAACTGATCCCCAATTAATTATCACATATTAATAAAATATACTTTTATTTTTGACAGCATGGGTAAATTTAATATTAATATGATATACATAAAGTGGGGGATAAATTTCCTATTGCTTTTAAGTATTAAACTGATCCCCATTAATTACTACATGTTAACAAAATATATTGTTATTTTGCTGCATATTAATAAAATAATTGGAAAGGCATATTTAACGGTTCACATGTGAAGACCTCCTAATAATATTCTAAAATAGAAGGTCTGTCTGAAAAGTAACGGGACTGAATGTGCTGTGTGAGCTATGGGCATTGTTTACAATGAGTTCATGCCACAGGGCCTGACGATCAATCAGCAATTCTACAAAGAGATTCTGGGACGTTTATTTCGCTTAGTGCGTTAGATGAGACGAGAATTGTGACAGGACAAATAGTGGCTGCTTTACTACGACAATGCAGCTGTTCACAACGCTCTAAGCATGCGGCAGTTCCTAGCCGTACTGGAAACAACCTCCCTATTCATCTGATCTTGCTTCGTATGACTTTTTTCTTTTCCCCAAGCTCAAGGGGATCATTAGAGCTGAGGGGCATCCAAGAAGAATTCTTCCGGGAGGGCATAGAAGTGTAGCAAAGAAGAATGGAAAAGTGCATTAAACTCGAGGAGGATTACTTTGAAGAGGAAACTATATAGTTTGTTGTTTGGAATTGAAATAAATTGTTTATGACACCAGTCCCGTTACGTACATCTCACTCGATTTTTTATAGAGCCATTTCGCTTTTTATAAAGCCATTTCGCTTTTTATAAAGCCATTTCGTTTTTTTATAAACGAATTGTGCCATTATAAATGTATTTCGCTTTTTATAAAGGCGCTTCACTTCTTACAGATGTATCTCACTTTTCATAAAGGCATTTCACTTTTTAAAGGGCATTTCGCTTTTTAAAAAGGAATTCGCCATTATAAAAGTATTTCGTTTTTTATAAAGGTATTTCACTTTTCATAAAGACATTTCGCTTTTTGTAAAGGCATCTTACTTTTTATAAAGGCATCTTACTTTTTATAAAGGCATTTTGCTTTTTATGATGGAATTTCGCTTTTATAAATGCACTTCACTTTTTATAAAGGCATTTCGCTTTTTATAAGTATTTCCATTGCCACCATTTTTAACCCAACTATCACCATCATGGTTTTAAAATGAATACCGCAATGCCTATGCTTTCTTTTGCTGGTGTCGGTGTTGTTGCCCTTTAGCAGCGATGTCAGTTACAATTTTAGTATTTCCTCCTCCTCCTCCTCCTCCTCCTCATCATCATCATCATCATCATCATTAGTCTCCTGACCGTTTACGGTCGTAGGGTTGTTGTACAGCCGAACATCTCACCAGTTCCCGCCACCTATCTGGTCTGAAAGCAGAAGTATGTATTCATGCGTAACGTGTCTTGGGCGTGTAGGCAGAGCCCATCCTACTTAAAAGCTCGCCCCGTTCGCGGACATGTCGCCGTCTATTCCTCCGCTCTGGCCGTTTATTTCAGTCTAGGAAGCACTCCCTCACCAGAGATGGAGTATCATCACCGCACTGCATGCATCCATAGCAATATACAGTCTAATCTATCACACAACAAGCAGGTCCATCCCCCTTTTGACAGATCTTGTTCATAATGCTACTGAATGTCAAAGCCAATCTCCTCAAGAGAAAAGCCTGGTGGGGAAATCGGTTTAGTCACCGATGACCCGACCATATAGCAGATAGTACTGGGCCAGATTTTACCAATAACATTTGTAGAGTTGCCTGACAAAGTAGTACTTGAACCGTGCCGTCAAAATGACAACGTACAAAGTTTGTCTGAAACGTAATGGGATATCCTCTACCTTTACAAGAGGGAGAGCAGGCCGAAAATGGAATACAGATAACATATATGAACGGGAGCTGCCCAGTCTTCACTTTCCAGTTCCATAGAACCCAAAAGCGTCCTTGTGGCTGACAAATTATTTTCCACCAGACAATTCCTTACCTACATGTGAAACGTCACAAGCCCCTCACTGTTCCATCGCTATTTCCATGGAAAGTGCTCAGACGAACTACATTCCTTAGTTTCACCAATTCTAACCTTCACGGCTAAGACACGCCATCCCACGTACATTTTAGCGTACCACCCTCATTCCTTTCGTATTCCATTGGTGAGATGTAAATTCCACTCAAGCAGTTTTTGCGAACAGCTGTTCTGTC